CTAGATTTGATGAAGTGGGTACCAACTCTTTTCACTGAATGGCTTGGTTCATTAAGGTAACAGGGCTGTTAAGAGTTGCTTAGCTTTCCTTAGGGAGAAAAAAGAACAAAGCAGAGTATCACATGATTTCCAACTGTATTAAAAAATAAAAAAGGAGAAAAGATGAGTGAAATGATTTAACCATGAGTCCTTGGCAGCTAAAGCGTGAGTAAAGCTTCTCACAGATGAATTTAGACAAAAGCAGGGCAGGTACAGTGAATTTTCTGGAGCCTTTGCATTTTCTACAGGGAAATGGAGATTAACTTTACTCTGACCATAGGACGTGTTTCAAAACAATCAAATGTTTTCTGAACACTTACTAGCCACGAAGCACTGTGCATATTTGTCTCATTTAATCTTCACACGGTCACATTCCTCTGTGGTTCAATGAATGGTTTCCATGGCTGTGTCCTATGCTGGCCTGTCTGGGATGGAGTTGCTCTAATCAGGCATCCACCCCTTTGCTTTCTGTGAGGACTCACAGAGCTGGCAGGGTTTAAACACCCTCACCTTCCTCACACAATTGTGTTAGTCCCCACGATACTCTGACCATTTCCCCCAGCCTAGCAAAGAAAATCTGCCATTCGCTTGTTTGTTCTGTGGTGACAACACTCTCTACATACTACCCTTGACGTGTTAAAACCTCGTCCGTTTCTATGAGGCCCAGCGAAGTAGACTTACAGCATAACGTTTTTCTGCCTAAGCATCAAAGTGTCTGTCAACGGAACATGAGAGAAAGTTGGGAAAACTGTAGAATAAGTAGATCCAATGGGCTCCCAAAAAAGCACAATGTCATTTAAGTAAACAACCCTCTCAGTGTTAAAAACTTCCTAATCAGTGTGCCTTTAAGACACTTTGCTCCCTCCAAGATTACACTCCCACTGCGGTAGAGCTTCGTGGTCCGCATTTTCCCATTCAAAATGCCCTCCCCATGTCAACAACGTTCTGTCCACGTATCCTTGAAGGAGGAGAGTCCTCTGATATTCTTCCTATAGAAAATATAGCCTGTTCATATGAAAGAACAAGAGGCTTAACCCCATCTTCTCAACAAAAGCTTCCTTCAAACAAAATCCAGAGCCTCTGAAGAGCTCAGGGCAGATGACTCTTTTCTGTTCTTCCAGAGCCCAACGTCTGATTAGAGCACAACTCATTTCCCAGAACTCCCTCCTTTCTCATTTTCCCTTCAGAAAGTCAGTGAGCAAACATTGGGATGGGCAGAAACTTCCCAGTGTAGGAGGAATGGAAAAGGTAACACATCGAACTGTCACTCACCTGGTGGCCAGTTTTCACGTTGTCACGTTACCATCAGTCAATAGGAATTTATATTTCAGTTCTGTTGGATTGCTCAATGCTACCTTGCTTACCAAACTTTTCATTTAGATCAGCATTGACCAACAGAAATATAATGCAAACCGTACATGCAAGCCACGTATGTAATTTTAAATGTTCTAGTAGTCACATTAGAAAAAAATGGTAACGGAGACAGGTGAAATTAATTTTAATGACATATTTTCTTTAACCCAAGATATCCAGAATACTGTCATTTCAACATGTAGTCAATATAAAAAATTATTGAGATATTTTACTTTTTTTTTTTTTGGTGCTAGGTCTCTGAAATCTAGTGTGTAGTTTACGCTTACAGCACATCTCAATCCAGACTAGCCACATTTCAAGTGCTCACTAGCCTTTCGACGTGGCTAATAGTTATCATACTGGACAGTGCAAAATTTAGATGGAGATTTACTCTGAATAAATTGGGCATTGACAGTGTGCATATTCTAAATGAATTTTTGCTTGGTTCTGCTGTACAAGTTTATGTGTTTTATTTTTATGTGCAATGTATGTGTCACTTCTAAAATCCAGATATATGGTATAACATGAGGATGAAGAATGGACCAGAAAAATAGTTAGGTAACATTGTCATGTTTGTTCCTATTAAATGTTCCCTATTGCCCACTCTATCTCTTTTAATTATAACAAGAGCCTTCCCTGCCAGCATGCACAGTTATGCTGGGAAAACTTCTGCCTCGTTTACTCTGGCTGCTTCTCATCCATTTATGGGTCAGCGGTTCACTTTCTAGAGGTCACGAGCATTCATACCTAGCACACAATTTCATTCATTATAATGAAAGACTGTTTTCCTTTCAAGGCAGCACAACTGGTGGGCTTAATTTTTCCTGATATGTCACCTGTAAAATTTTAATGATGATGTTTAAACTCTAAATGTAGCCATCAAGACAAAATCTGCCAGTTTTGAGCTCAGTGTGTGTGGGTGGGTTTCTGTTTTGGAGGTTTGAAACACTGCAGAGCATCATCAAAATATGATACCCAAGAATCATATGGTATCAATCATTCCTAGATATGCTGATCTATTCATTGCCAAGACAGTTCAATGAGCTGGTAAAAACATATGGAATATTTTTTTGGAAATGTGAAAATAAAACTTAACCAATCATGGATCACAGCTTGCAACTTGAGTCACACTTTTAAAAGCGTTTTAATTTGGAACTTATGATTGAAAACTTGTAAAAAGCTTCACAGAGATTTAGTTTAAGTCATATTTTAGAAAAGTAGAGCTTCTTTACCAAATGAGGCATATGACCCAGATTGCAGAGGGGATGTTGAAACTTCTGTGAGCAAGCAGGTGGCTCCTTGAACATTTTGGGGTAGAATAGTTGGGCTCAGGGTCTCTGACCATTATTGAGCATTGGCACTCTAGCTCCTTGGTCTCCTGCAAGTGTGACTCCCGCCTCCTGCTGACTGCACCTGTCCCAGGTGATCTACTGCTCACCCTCCTGCACACCCCGCGTCTCTCCTATCAACTGCCCACCCATGGCAGAGCTGCAAAGGGCTTTGTTGTACCTCCTTCTCATAACACTGCCTGTCTCTCTCCTCTTCCTTAGTGCCTGGTCTGGTGGGAGGGAAATCTATGGAGTTCACCAGGGAAGACTGCCTGGTGGGAGGGAAGGGGGAAGGAAGCCCCTTGCTCCATTTCACCTAGCATGCATGGGCCCCCCTGCCTTTTAGCTCAGGGCCCTATTGTCTAGTCTCACTCACCCTTTAAAACAGTCCAGTAGGTAGAGATTTTGTTTCCCTCCCATTGAAAAAAAGTGATTAGCAGGATGAAGACAGTAATGTTTAAGAAGCACTAGGGTGAAGGGAAAACTTTCAACTTCCTCGGCCAAATAATTGTTTCCTCCTTTGTCCTTCCCAGACCTTGATGTTCACTCTATCATTTCAAATCACCTTGTGTTATAAGTATTTGAGAATGTGCATTTCTCTGCAAGGAGATCCTGATCCCCAAGAAGGCAGGGGCTGTGTCGTACTCACCCCGGGACTCCCTCAAACCGGGGCCTAGCACAGCGCGCATCACAAAGAGGTACTTAATAGACATTTGTAAACTGACACTATTGAGATTAAGCAACCTGGGTTCAGGCCACTCACTGGGGATTAGACCTTGAGCAATCACGTCACCCCACTGGTTTCCAGTCCTTGCACCTGTAAACTGGGAGGTGAAACCAAGTGGTCTCTGACATCTCTTCCAGCTCAGACGCTCTGTGATCTATGTAACGAGGGGCTGCTGTTCTGGACGAGGGCCTTCCAGCTTGAAAAGTGCATAGCCCTCCTCGT